TTTACAGAAAAATAAGAATGTATTTGGGAGGGTTATAACAGGTAAAAGTAAAATATACAAGAACAATCACATAAACGCTGAGCAGAGAGAAATGAAGGCAAGATACGGTAAACTTCTTATGCTCTGGGCAGAGTGGTATCTATCACTTCAATGGCATCTCTGATAAAAGATGCAAAATATAAACCCTAAAGCAATGGGTAAATAAAATCAAGTTGTAGCTAATAAGCCAACAAAAGACACAAAGAGGAACCATTAAAAAAATCTAATCCAAAATAAAGTAGAAAGTAGGAACAGGAAAAGACAGACAGAAAACAAGTAGATGAAAGACTCATACTTAAATCTATCAATAATCACATTAAATGATCAAAACACCTCAATTAAAATAGAGATATCAGGGGCCTCCCTGGTGGCTCAAGGGGTTAAGATGCAGCACTATGAAGCTATCCTCAGCCTCTGCAGCACGAATTCGATTCCCGGCCAAGGAGCTACCCACATGGCGCAGCAGACCTCTCCTGACTTGCCCGCTGCTCCCCTCAGCAGTGTAACCCAGTCAATCCGCCTGTTCTGCTCCCCACTATGTCTCTGGTGAATCCTCTCACCCCCTCCACCTCTGGCCTGTACCCCAGTTCTTGTATGCATAAGTAAATAAATCTTTTAAAAATAAAATAGAGATATCAGATCAACTAGTACAAAATAACAACTACACGCAGCCTAAATGTAACATGTTAAAAAACACTCTTAGAACATAATACACAAGGGGAGTGACATCAGCAATATTATAGACTAGGAAACACCACGCTCTCCTTCCCTAACAGAAACATTAAAGAAGTTTTTAAAAAGCAGTATTGCCAGACTGTGTCAGAGCTCAGGCAAACAGGTGAAGGTTTACAGTAACTGAGCAAGCATCTAATCAGGAAAAGGTCACGTTCAAAATTGTAGGGAAGTTGCATTGGCATTCTTACTGGCTCTTGCCCCAGTGCGGGTGGAATGGAATGTGGTAATCACGATCTTGAGGCAGCGCCTGGTCTCCGGTTCCCTCCCTTAAACCCAAGGGGCAGAGGAGCCCGTCTTTGCAAAAAATTATGTACAAGCTCTCCATTTGTCCACCTCGGCTCTGTTCCTTTCTTCTGCCTTCTCTAGGACTTATCACCCACCACCCAATTTCCTGCCACTGATTTTAAATCTATTTAAATCTATTCTTTTTTCCTGTAATTTTCACTTTATTATTTTAGAGCTCCCATATAAGAGTTCGGGGAATCTTCATGTCACTCTCTTAATAAAGCCACAGTGAACAGTTCATTAACTGCTGCTTCCACTTCCCACACACAAACTTTCTAATTATAAAAGGAACTTTTCCGATTTATTCAGGCCATATAATCTTATATATATATATATATAATCTTTCATATATATTATTTACATCATTGTTCTTTTTTAATTTTTTAATATTTTATTTTATATAATTCTTACATCATTTTTCATTTTTGCTGTGTGGAGATTTCTTGACCTACTAAAGATAGAGCTTCCATATGATCCGGCAATTCCACTCCTAGGTATTTACCCAAAGGACACAGAAACATCCATTCCAAAGAGCACCTGCACCCCTATGTTTATAGCAGCACTGTTTACAATAGCTAAGCTTTGGAAACAGCCCAAATGCCCAAAAATAGATGACTGGATCAAGAAGATGTGGTACATATACACAATGGAATATTACTCAGCAATCAAAAAAGATAAACACATGCAACATGGATGCAGCAACATGGATGGAGCTAGAAGGGATCATGCTCAGCGAAATAAGTGAGAAAGAAAAAGAAAAATACCGGATGGTCTCACTCATAGCAGGGATTTAGAAAACTTAAATAAGGGACCAGGAACAAGACTAATTAATACAAAGTAAAAATCAAAATCATCATTGTTCATTTTTAAACAGTTTGCTCCCTGTCCCCAGGTGTAGTCCCCGTAGAATTTCCTTCACCAAGTCACCCGCACTATCACCTCAGTCCCCTGTGCTCCTCTCTCCCTAAATCTATTCTTTAGTTGACCTCTTCATCACAATATGGGCATCCCTTGTCTTATTGTGTTTCAATTTATTGCATTTTGCAGATATCATTTTTTTACAAACTGGAAGTTTGTGGCAACCCTGCCTCAAGCAAGTCTATTGAATCCATTTTTTCAAAAGCACATGCTCACTTCGTTTCTGTGTCACATGTTGGTAATCCCCACGATGTTTCAAACTTTTTCATTATTATTATACGTTATGGTGATCTGTGATCATATTGTAATTGTTTTGGGGTGTCAGGAATCAAGCCCATGGAACTTGATTGATAAATGCTGTGCATATATTCTGACTTCTCCACCAAGCGGTCACCTTGCCCAACCTGTCATCTCTCTCCTTTCCTCAAGCCTCCCTTTGCCTTGAGACTCAATGTTGAGGTTAGGTCAACTAATAAGCTACAATGACCTCTAAGTGTCCAAGTGCAAGGAAGAATCACATCTCTTACTTAAAAGCAAAAGATAGAAATGAATAAGCTTAGTGAGGAAGACATGCCAAAAGCCGAGGTGTGTGAAAAGCTGGGCCACTTGTGCCCAGCAGTTAGCCAAGAAGGGAATGAAAAGGCAAAATCTGAAAGGATATTCAAAGTGCTACTCCAGTGAACACACGAATGATAAGAAAGTGAAACAGCCTTATTGCTGATTAGGAGAAAGTTTTGGTGGTCTGGATAGATGATCAAACCAGTCACATTTTCTTAAACCAAAGCCTAATCCAGAACAAGGCTCTGACTCTTAAATTCTATGAAGGCTGAGAGAGGTGAGGAAGCAGCAGAAGAAAAGTTTGAAGCTAGCAGTTGATTTATGAGTTTTAAGGCACAAAGCCATCTCCATTAACATCAGAATGCAAAAGCAAAACAGCAAGTGCTGGTGTAGAAATTGCAGCAATTTGTCCAGAAGGTCGTAGATCACCGATGAAGGTGGCTACTCTAGACAACAGATTTGTAATGTAGATGAAACAGACTTCTACTGGAAGATGCCATCTAGGACTTTCCTAACTAGAGAAAAGTCCATGCCTGGCTTCAAAGCTTCAAAGGACAGGCTGACTTTCTTGTTAGGGGTTCATGCAGCCGGTGACTTGAGGTTGAAGCTAGTACTCACTTGCCATCCTGAAATTCCTAGGCCCCTTAAGAATTAAGCTAAATCTACTCTGCCTGTATTCTATAAATGGAACAACAGAGCCTGGATGACAGCACACCTTTTTATAACATGGTTTACTGAATGTTTTAAGCTCACTGGTCTCGGTATTTTAAGACCTACTGGTCTGGGGGCTCCCTGGTGGTGCAGGGGTTAAAGAAAGTGCTATCAAGCTACTGCCAGCCATTGCAGCATGAGTTCGATCCCCGGTTGGCCAGTGAGCAGCCCATATGGCACAGCAGACCTCTCCTGCCTCGCCCGCTGCTCCCCTCAGTTTCAGTAGATCTGCCTGTTCTGCTCCCCACTCTCTGCTGAATCCTCTCATCCCCCACACCTCTGGCTTATACCCCAGTTCTTGTATGCATAAATAAATAAATCTATTTTAAAAATGACCTACTGGTCTGAAAGATTTCTCTCAAAGTATTTCAGTGCACTGACAATGCACCTGGTCACCAAGAGCTCTGATGGAGAGAGGTACAAGATGAATACTGGTTTCATGTTGGCTAATACAACACCCATTCTGAGCCCAGATCAAAGCTGGAACAAAGGCAACAGGTTGGGGGGAATGTTGAGATCCCTGTGGGAATGGCCCCTCGCCCACCACTGCTGGGGACTTCCCTCCTCAGTGTGAAGGGCTGAGGGGCTTACTACATCCAGACACATCTATCCACTCCACTCCACCAGTCTTTCCCACAGAAGCCATTCCTGAGGTGAGAGCTGATGCCTGTGGAAGGGGTCAGGTAGAGGGGCTTGGTGCCGGGATGGCATCTTTGCCCAGGCACACTGTGTTGTATCCATTCTGCAGCAGGTGCTCCACCTCACTCTTTTCTGGAAAGTACCTGCCTAGGGTGTGGGAAGGAGATGGGGTCATGATGGGATGGGGGGCAAGTCTAGAGGCAACACAGACACAGCACACCTGTCCTGCCAGGTTGGCTGCTGTGGGTCTGCTGCGGACACTGCCGGGGGCCCGTGAGATGGTCTGGTCAGCATTCTGTCCAGAAACCACCCATCGGCCCACATGGATGCCAGGTGCACCCCTTCCCCCATCAGCTGTAGCTCAGGTCACATCCACAGAAAGGTTTCTGTCCTGGGCCCAGAGAAGTCAAACACCCCCTCCAGGGCACAACTCCAAGGCAACTGATGAGGTATGCTCACCTCCTGACAGAACTAGAGCAATTCCCCTGCCTCAGCTTCCCACCCTAAACTAGAGATAGCTCCTGCACAAGACACTTGTGAGGGTTAGGAGCCGATACGTGGAAAAGGCTTTGGGAAACAAGAGGCATAAGGTTGATGCTGGGGATCATGCCTGGCACATAGGATGCACTTCCAAAGCACTTAGAATGGCGCCTGACACACAGCTGACGGCCGCTCAGCAGGCGCCCAGCGCAGTTCCCATCACACTCTTGGCGCTCAAGCAGCACACACAGGCAAATAGGCTTCCAACTGGTGCCAAGTACGTACGTGGGGAAAAAAAAGCCACACTGCTGAGTAACACACTGGCACTTTATATATACACCGCGCAAAGTACAGGGTCTCAATAAGAAAATACACTCTGTGTTCAGGTGCACCCCACCACCACCCCCTCAGAACACCCCAGGTTGAGGACAGAGGGACGGAACAACCATAAATAGAGAATAGAAGGGACGGTTAATGCTCTAAGGGGCAAACACAGGTGGAGAACACACTGCCGGGAGGAGAGTGACCTCTTCTTCCCCAGGAGAAAGCGATACAGCGGCACAGGAGAACAGTAGCCACAACTAAGCCTGTGATGCCTGGGGGGGGGGGGGGGGGGCACTAACATGGGTGGGGGGCGGGGTGGATAAGGAAAGAAGAGCAGAGATGGTTTCCTTTTCCATGGCGGGCAAGGGCCCTCAGTTCACATCCATGAACTCAGAGGTGGGTGGGGAGCCACAGGCAGAGGATGCTGGGGGGTCAGATATGTCAGGCTGGGTCTGCAGGCGACGTGCCACATCCTGGCGTTGATAGAAGAGGACGTAGGCCGCCTTGGACTGTGGGGAGAGGACAGGAGTGAGTGCAGGTCAGTGGGGTGTGGGGGGCAGGGAGAAGGGAGGATGAAAGGCACACCTCGATCTGATTTTCAGTCACAGGCGACACGCTGTTGTCATCAAAGTAGTGCCACTGGCCACTGTCCTTGTTGCAGGCAAACGTCGTGTCTGAAAGAGGAGGCGGCGGTCTTCACCCACCCCCCACCCGAGAGGTGTGGAGATGCCCTCCTCACACCTCCCACCCCGATGACCTCACTGCTGGCTCTGGTATTGAGTCACCCAAATACCCCCAGCAGCTCCCACCACAACCTCGCACGTACAGTGTCCATCACGCAGGCCCCCATAATGGTTGGAAACTGCGATGAGATCGTATTGTACAGCTCGGGAGCCGCCTCGTTCTGTGGCTTGATGACAAACTCAGAGAAGTCCAAGTCCCTGTGGGGAGGAGAGGGTCAGTGCCCGGGGGTGGGGGGTTTGGGGGAGAGGGGCTCCCCCACGCCCTGCCTCCCCCACCCCATCCTTCCCTGGCCCTGACCGGATAGGAAACTCCACAAGGGTGTCCAGCTTCTCTCGGGAGAACTTAGTGTAGGAAAAGCGCTTCAGGTGGATAATGAGCGTCTCAGGCAGCGTCCACAGGTCCAGCTTCTTGGTGGCCAGCTGGTGCTGCTTGCAGGTGGGGCAGTACCTGCGGACAGAGCCAAGTCGGCACATGGCCTCGTCTGCGCACCTACTGCACGTTCTTCGTAATGTGTGGCCTTCATGGGCCTGGCTGCTCTAGAGGCTGCTCGTCCTTCCAGCCTGCCCGGCACGCCCACGGGCTCGCTTCCATGCGACAGCCCTGCATTCCCTCATCAAGGACTTACCATCTCCCTTTTCTATACACTCCGGCACTAGCACGCATCTGTGGTTCTGGTCTGTGAGATGCGAATCTGAGTTCAGGCCTGCCTCTATCCCTCTCGCTTTCTCTCTTCCTACTGCAGTTACTCGCTTGCCCTTGAAGCAGCTGCCGGTTGCCTATTATTGAATCCTCTGGCGCTGTGGATCTGGGCTCCCTTTCTGCTCCGCGGAGGTGCTGCTCTTATTTTTGAGACTGGCTTTATCTTTTTGGTTCTGTGTGTCTCGTTTATTCTGCAAGACGCCACTATCTACTGCACGCCCAACAGATGATAATCTGGGAGACACGGCGTGAACTTAGGAGTCTTCACCCGCCAGGGGTTTACGAGAACATGAATAATGACGCAAAAGGGGACCTAGGACGTGCTGTCACATGGTGTTACTGAGCCAGGAAGAAGACGATGCTGGGCTAGGAAGCAGGCGCAGAGAACACAGACAATGGCGCCTGGGGTGGCTTTGAGCAGGACAGTAAGAGGTCTCCCCGCTAAAGTAACATTTGATGGAAAAAAGGAACAAAACGAAGAACCCGTGGAGATAAGTGGAAGAAGAGCCCTCCTGGGGGGAGCAGCCCAGGCCAGAGCACTGCAGTGGAAATACACTTGGGGTCTAGTGGCCAGAGGGACAGGAAGGGTTTGAGCAAGGGGGAGGGGAAGGAGGCATGGTTTTGGCTTTTGAAATTTTTAAAAAGAATTTTATTTTAAAATTTTAATTTTAGTTTTGGGGGTTACACTTTGGCTCTTTCAGAAGTGCACATTCCATTCACCCTCCACCAAACCACCTGTGCTCATCCCCCCTCTGCCTGAAGGAGGCATGTTTACAGGTAACAAGGACCTGGGCAGGTACTCCCACCCAACTACACTCCCAGAAGCCCCCTCCGGTCCCTCACCAGGGGTTTTCCTTCTCCAGGGTCTCCACAGTGGTGAAGAGCTCAATGCACTCCTGCAGCCTTACCGGAGCCTTCTTCAGCACATAGCCCACACAGTCGTGCTTCACGTAGCCCTAGACCGGGGAGAAGACAGCTGGGCATGAGCACGGGTGGGTAAGAGGGTGCAGGGCTAGAAGACACACGCTGAGTAGTTAAGAGCATGGACTCTGACGCTAGGAACCTGAGGCCCTGAGTTCTGTCGTCACCACTTGAAGGAGGCAGAGGGGGAAAGTGTGTGAAGAGTTGAAGGGATGCAAGTTGAAAGTGTCCCCCTACCCCTGGGATCGTGTTTACCTCAGCCTCCACCTCGTCATAGTAACGCTTCTTCATCTCTGGCTCCCAGTCGATGGCAATGTACGGCTGGGCTGGGGGTGAGGGCAGGTGGTCATGGGCCCTGCTGCCGAGGAAACCGCCCTCCCTACCCCCCAACCCCGGCTCCCAGCTGAAAGAGACACCATGAGTATCTTCATTGTAGGTCGAGCGGTCGCTGGTCCCATTGGAATTCACTGTCTGCAGGGTGAACAGGTGCTTGCGCCGCGCCCTCTGGGGCCAGTGAGATGATCCTGGGGAGTTGTCCACGGGGGCCCGGCTTCCACCCACAACTCCAGAGCTGGGTCCAGCCTGCTCCAGCCCAGGGTCCTGGGAGCTGCCCCCAGCCGCATGTGCAGGCTTGGGGACGTTGCCCTTATCCTCCATGTCTGCTAGGACAAGGGAGGGTTGTCAGGGATAGGTTTAGATGAGCCCCAGATGGCTGAGCTGCAATGCCCTTCAGATGGACCCCATGTGGGCTGATCCTATGCCAGAGCTCCCACCCACCCACCCTCACTCAGGCCATGGGCCCATTGGTACAGACCCTCATCCTTGTCGAGCTTTTTTCCTTCCTCTTCCTCACCTTTATCATCTCCATCATCTTCGTCATCAGAGCTGGGTCTGGTCACATAGCGTCTGTGACAGAACAGAAGAGACTCTCCAGGAAGGCCCCACAGGCAAGGAGGGGAGAATCCAGGATTCTACTTTGTTTATGCCAGGAAGCCACCAGCAAACCCCACAAACACTTGTTCATGGTGAGTCCAGAAAGGCTCAGGAGATGACAGAGCAACTCGGGAAGGGATGGCCAACAGTGCAGGAGCATGAGCCCATAGAAAGGGGTGGGGATCTTAAGTACAAGAAGCCACAGGGACACAGACACACAATCAGCTGTAAACTACCACTGAGAAAGGACTGGAAAGTGCAGCACGAGGGAGAGATTAAGCCAAGGAGTGCACTGCGCTCTGCTTTGGAAAGGACTCTGGATTCTACACTTCTGGGTAAAAACATGGAGAAGCAGGCCTCTCTAGGGAGAAAAAACTAAGTATAAGATGGAGTTGTCTATATTTTGTCCATTTAGTTGACCTCTGTATTCCCAACACCTCACAGGGAGGTACAGAGGTTTCTCTAAACTCAAAAGTTTAGAGAAAGAGAAAACAGATGTGTCCCTCTCTGCCCACACTGTGAGCTGCCTCTTGCTTGCGGAAGGGAGGTGACAACAAAGCGCATGAACCCCACCCACCCTCAGCTCCCCGAAGGACAGACTCACGAGAGGCGGTACAGCAGGATGTGATACAGGGCATCCCAGGAGAGTCGGTCTCGGGGCACCGACACGAGGAGCGGGTGGCCAAAGAGCATCAGGCCATAGTAGGAGTTGTTGTAGTCCCGGGCTGGGGTGCGCTCCCGCAGGTAGATGGGGAGCACGACGTCCTCTCTGGAGTTCTCACCAATAGAAGCCCGGCCTGACACCTCATATCTGTGGGATGTGGACATCAGGTCACTGCTGATCACTGCTGACACCCCAAGGGGGACTCGCAGAGGCAGCCCCAGTTGCCCACCCTGCTCATCACTTAGCCTGAAAACACTTTTGAAAGGGTCTGATGAGTTCACCCAGTTGTTTTGGGCTTCACAAACTGCTAGCAGATTGCCACAGCGCTCTATTTATGTGATGCCTTGGAAAGGACTTCAGTGTTGCCAGAGGGCTCAGAGGATGAACCAACATTTTTAGTGACAAAGGGATTTAAAATCATTTTCGTTTTCAGGAAACACTGCTCGGTTTACACAGAGAACTTGTCTACTCGTGAAGTACTTTCTACTTTAGTTTACTCAAAGATATCCAATTTATCGGGAATTCTATTATGGTAACAAAGAATCTCAGTGCTCCCAATTTCGAAAATCACTTTTGGTTTTTGAGGACTACAATATGATTAAGGAGAGCAGATCAGTGTTTTGTACACAAGAGGTACTCGGTGAGTACTGAATAAAACAAAGAAGAAACAGGAGCCTGCCTCACACGATAAGGAAGAAAACACCAAGGTTGCCTTGTATAGAGTTCTGTTGCCCCACAACCCCCAACAGCCCCAAATCCCCGAAGCCCTGTGAAAAGCAGGTGCTCTGAGCATCAGGCTGAGGAGGGAAGAGGGAAAGTGGTTACGAGGAGATGCTTCCGAAGAGCCCCCAGCTCCCCAGGTCCCCTCACTCACATGAAGATATCATCCCGGTCCAAGATGCTGCTCAGGGATTCCTCCAGCTGGTAGATCTTATAGAAGCGATGACTGAAGACATCGGCCACCATCATCTGGGAACGGGATGCAGAGAGAATGGTCGGTCTGCAAAGTCTCCCCAGGTCTTTCTGCTTCCCTGTCCCCAACTTCCACCCTCCTCCCATCCGCAGAGCCTCACCCTTTCTGGCGAAACACCAGTATGTTTGGCCAGAGCCAAACACAGATCCGAGATCTTGCCTTTCTTGGGGACCACGAGTCGGTGCTGAGGGAGAAAGAGTATCCACAAAAGAGCAGAGGGCACACGGTGAGTCAGTACAGGAGACGAGGAGTATGGCCGTGTGACGAAAGCGACGACACATCCCTCCTGGTGCCCCCACATCCCTGTTCCCACCAGACCTGCTCTGGCTTGCGGCGGGGATCCATGGAGACAAAGAAGACCTCCATGACCCGCTTGTGGCTGACAGGCAGTGGGACACTGAGGTAGCAGAAGGGGTCGAAGGTCACAGACACGTTGCCACAATCGGGGCACACCAGCGTGGACTTGAAGAGGCCGTGGAAAGTGTCCACGATAACAGAATCGTTCCGGCGTTTGTGGTTCTGCCAGGCCTCCTGAGCAACCTCCTGTTGATGGTGTCACAGTGGGTGGTGGGTGGTGGGGCTTGCCAGGGCCAGGGGGAAACCATGACTTGGGGTGGAAGTACATGGGGTGAAAGTAAGGTGATGGCCACTGGTGAAGTGCAGCGACAGAGTTCCCTCTCAAGCTCCCCAGAGACTGCCTTCACCGTCAGGGGTCTGTTCTGGGCAGGAAACTGAGTTGGGGTTAACTCTAGGTTGGGTGTGGGGGCCTATGGAGTATTGGAGCCACAGCTGGGAGTAAAGTTAGGTACGCTGTGTGTCTCCTCAGAGCATCCCTGAGGCAGAGGCTCTAGTGGCTCTACCGGGGCTCGTTCAGGAGCACCTACCTGATCTGGTCGCCCAGCAGCATCACACAGCTCCACATATTCCTTCTTCTTGACACGATTGAGGTCCTCGTGCAGACCATCCAGGAGGAATGACAGCAGTTCCTGTGAGTCATGCTGCTGGTAGCCCAGAAACTGGGACGCAAAGTGGCCAACCTTCGTCTGAGAAGATGGGCAAGGCCGTCAGAAGGAGAAAGAGGACAAGTGGGAGGTGGCGGGGATCCCAGAGCTGAATCACACCTTGAACACATGGGGCACGATGGAGCGGTGGTGGCCGGACCAGGCCTGTTTCACCAGGTCTGCGTAAGCCTCTGCAATCTCCCCTTTCATGCCCAGAGGGTTGCAGAAGTTGAGTTCCTCCAAGTAGCGGTTTTTGAGGAAGTACTCGGTGAGCTGTGGCACATTGCTGAGGCACTACAAGAGGCAGGGCCAAGTGAGGAGGCGGAGAAGAGGGGAGAGAAGGTGAGCAAAGTGGAGGCAGAGGAAAGGAATCAAGGAGAAAGGCAATAGGGAGAAGCAAGAGAAGGGACAGGGGAGAGGGGAAGAGAAGGATGCAGAAGTGCGGCAAAAGGGAAAGCAGGGGGCAAATGGAGGGAGAAGTTACTTATGTTTCAGGAAGGATCATGGGCATGTCAAATAAGACTTGTGGGGCCCTAGCTTCCCACCTGACCCCTCCCCTGCAGTACCCCAAGTTGTCACCAATCCCCAACACCTGAGCCCACCCCCTGCGGCTGTCCCAGACACAACCCTAATGGCCCAACCTGCAGGGCTGAGTTCATGAAGCAAGTGTTGCCCAGATTGGTGAGCCCACAGATGCCAGGCTGGCCCTGGAAGTCCTCCTCCTCCTCCAACGCACTGTTTCTGCGGGCAGATGAGGAACTCTTATCAGCCAAGGGCCCACTATAGGTGGATGAAGTGTGCCATGGGCTCATTCATTCTGCCAACTATGGGACCCCACTCTGAACGAGACACCCCCAAAAGCTTACGGGGCATGTGGCTGTGCACTGGGCCAAGTGCCATCCTTGTTCCGGGTCTCCATGATGACCACCTGGGTTGGCGGATGAGAAAAAGGAAAGACACTCGTGTGGGATGTCTGTTACCAAGCCCTCAATTCCTCCAACCTGAGCACCGGCCATGAGCAGAACAACAGAACAGAACAGCCTTCCCCATCCTTACCTGTCCGGTCTTGAGCGCAGCTTCGAGCACTGTGACGCGTGTGTTGCACAACCTCTCGAAAGAGCCCTCGGTGTTCTTGACCCACAGACGTGTCTCTTCCTGGGGGCTCACCAGAAACTGCTCGCGAGCTCTGTGCAATACTAGGTCTATGGCAGGTGAGGGAGCACATTCAAGGTTGTCCTCAGACCCTGACTGATCAGTCCATGTTGGCATCAGACCTGACTCAGGCCCACAGACCTCACACACTCGGCCAACACCTTGTGTCCCTGATCACTCTCCAAACTGGTCCATACTCAGGACTTGAGACACCCAGCAACTATCCCCTGCCACACTATCTAAGCCACTGGAATACAGCTCACATGCCCTCAGGACTCTCTGGAGGACCCTCCCTTAGAGTTTCTGCCCAACGTGATCAATGCCTTCTTAGTTGGCCACCATCTAACCCATGTATTCTTACATCACTGAGCCAAGACCAGTGGATGAGAATGGTAACTCATTCCCTGATGTTTACACTCACCAACAGAATCTGTGTGGCTGAATTGAGCAGTGTGAGGTGTGTCCATATCACTGTGCTGAACAAGCAGCAGTTCTACTGGGTACACTTCGACCTTGTAAATGCTGAACAGTTCCACAACCTGTAAGGTGGAAGGGTGCATACATAGGAGTACCCACAAAGCTTATATACACAGATGCAGGCACAATGATCTCTGAGGTCAGGAGTCTACAGCAGGTACACAGGGCACACAGATACATATGTAAGGATTCCTGTACATAAGGGGACACACCAAGATACCTGTATAATGGCCTATGATGGGCCTCCCTGGTGGCGCAAGGGGCTGGGATGCAACCTATGAGGCTATCAGCAGCCTCTGCAGCATTAGTTTGATCCCCAGCCAGGGAGCCACCCACATGGTGCAGCAGACCTTTCCTGACCCGCCCGCTGCTCCCCTCAGCAGTGTGTTTCAGTCAATCTGCCTGTTCTGCTCCCCACTCTGTCTCTGGTGAATCCTCTCACCCCCCCCCCACCTCTGGCCTATACCCCAGTTCTTGTATGCATAAATAAATCTTAATGGGCCTCCCTGATGGCACAGGCAGTTGCGCGCCACACTGTGAAGCTGTCCACAGCCTCTGCAGTGTGGGTTCGATCCCGGCCGGCTGGCAAGAATCCTACATGGTGTGGCAGACCTCTCCTGTCTCACCCACTGCTCCCCTCAGCAGTGTATTTCATCGGTCTGCCTGTTCTGTTCCCCACTCTGTCTCTGGTGAATCTTCTCACCCTCCCATGCATCTGGCCTGTACCCCAGTTCTTGTATAAATAAATAAATCTTTAAAAAAAAATTACGGCCTATGAAGGGAGAGGAGCGCAGACATAGGTGTATGGACACACAAGTCAGGACTCATCCTGGGTCTACAAGGCCTTCCTATCCCACCCCCCACAGAATCTATTCCCCTACTATACCTTGCGTTCAATGGGTGGCTGGCCATGCTCTAGACCGTACCAGTTGACCAGGTAGTGCCACGCATCCGCTGGGAGCAACACATAATCCTCACCTTCCACCAGTCCCTTCCTGAGGCGCCAGTTTATGTGGTCTGGAGGGGAGGGGCAGGGGAGAAGTGGCAGAGGAAGAATCAGGGAAGCAAAGTGATGAGTCTATTCTGGCCACCTCACCAATGACCTAGCACAGAGAAGGGATTTATGATCATCTATAGGGACAGAGGGGACAAGAACTCCAGGGCTAGGCCAATGTGGGGAGGCAGAGGCCTGGTACCTTCAAAGAGCTCAGCATTGTTGATGCAGCCGGGGAAGGTACTGGAGTCCTGGTTTCCTCCCTGCACATAGACTTCCCACTGTTTGTACCAGTGCTGCTCCACGAGAAACCTGGATCAGACAGGTAACAGGGGTGTCGCACAGTTATGGGGGGGGGGGGCTAGTGATATTACTTCCCATGGTCATTAAACAAAAATTAGCAATTCATTATAAATCAAAATGACAAATTTCATGTATATCTAAACTAATGTAATGTCATATGTCAATTATAGCTCCATAAAAAAATTCCAGCAGAATTCAACATTTTAAAAAGTTTCAGCATCATATAAAAATAAATTAGAAGCAAAATTTATTCAAAGTTAGATTTGGGTAGATTAGGTAACTTCTTAGGACACTGAAAAGAGATTTGATTAAAAACAAAATGTGCTCAAAGATGGCAAAAAATCCACCCACCTACCCACCCTGTGTCAGGAAACGTGAGTTTTTATTATGGAATAAATAATAACTCCCTTGTATCAGTCTGTGAGGAAAGTTAAATTAGGCTCAAAATGTTATTTTCAGCTAATGTTATAATGCTTTAGCCATGTTAAGTGTGCAGTTTGTAAAAATATGAAAATATTCAGCTAAGAAATAGATTATTAAATTCTAAAAATCTGTTCATAAATTAAAAAGAACATCGCGGGCCTCCCCAGTGGCGCAGTGGGTTGAACACAGCGCTGTGGAGCTGTCCACAGCCTCTGCAGCATGGGTTTGATTCCCGGCAGGCCAGGGAGATTCCCACATGGCGCAGCAGACCACTCCTGTCGCACCCACTGCTCCCCTCAGCAGTGCTTTCAGTCTGTCTGCCTGTCCTGCTCCCCACTCTGTCTCTGGTGAATCCTCTCACCCTCCCGCGCCTCTGGCCTATACCCCAGCTCTTGTACAAATAAAAAATAAATCTTTTTTTAAAAAAAAAAGAACATTGACATTTTTCAATTTAGGGTTTATTTGGGTTTTATGATAAATTTCTGAACTTTTGGTGACTAGCCCATTTTTTTTTTAATTTGTAGCAAAAACATATATAAACTTTTCCATCGTAACTACTTTAAGTGTACAGCTAGACCAGTACTCTCTTTATGCACTACTGGGATAAGTATTTTCGACTATTGAAGTCTGCCTTTGTAACATATTCTAGAAATTCTCAAGCCCGGGAAACACTTGACATATACTGAGTACAAATCAATGTGAGTTATTACTGTTCTGATCCCAGGGCTAAGGTATACATACAAGCTCATGTACAGACACACAACCTCCATCTCACTCACTCACACACACACACACACACAGCTCTGCTATGGAACTGACACATAACTGCCCCAAACAGAATTTTAAGATTACGAATTTATATAAATATGTAACATTATATTGGTTAATTTTCCAGCAATTTAACTCTATAAATGGGATTCTTCAAAATAGCAACTTTCCTTTGTTAATATAAGGATCAGAGAGATGAAAAGATATAAAGATAGAAAAAACCCCAAATAGCCACAAGTCTCATGAACATGCAAACATTTCTACCATGTGTATGATTTTCTTTTTTGTTAGCTACATTGACCCCTGCCACATCAGTCACCCCTCATCACTTATCTAGGAGACCCCACCAGCAAACCACCCTCTACCACACACACCTTCACCCCCTTCACTTTTTAAATCTAATCCATCGATAGTCTGGGAGGTGAATTTAGTTAATAAAGCCAATTCATGATTAATGGGAGCTTTAATGCAAAGGGAGGCACTGTTCAACTTTTGTTAAAAGCAGATTTCTAAGGAAAATTAACATTAAAACCACTCTTAATAGCAGTAAGTAAAACCTGCAGAATCTGCCATAACCTGAATTTCTTAAGGCTTCACAGAAGACTGGAGTTGTACATAAATGTTCACAAAATATTACTACCATATTTTTTTTTCAAATGAAAGACACTTAGAAATATTTTTTTAAACATCTTGGAAATCAGGAAGTCTCACAATCTGTCAGCCCAGGTGGCAGTCTTGACAGTCATCATTGTGTGAGCAAAAAGGACCCATATTGTTATATTTACTCCTAGACATTCAATTTTGTTGGATGCTATTACAAATGGTAGCTTTTAAAATTTAATTTTCTAATTTCTTGTTGCTAGTACATAGTAATACAACCAATCTTGGGGCCTCCCTTGTGGCACAAGTGGTTAAGCGTCAGCACTATGAAGCAATCCACAGCTACTGCAGCACGAGTTCAATCCCCAGCCAGGGAAGTGACCCACATGGCATAGCAGACCTCTCCTGTCTCCCCACTGCTCCCCTCAGCAGTCTATTTCAGTAGATCCGCCTGTTCTTCTCCCCACTCTGTCTCTGGTGAATCCTCTCACCCCCCCACACCTCTGGCCTATACCCCAGTTCTTGTATGCATAAATAAATCTTTTTTTTTTAAAAGAAATACAACCAATCTTGCTAAAGTCCATATTTATTTGTGCTTCTTCAAATTTGTTAAAATATTAAATATGTGCTTATGGAAAAAATTACTAAGCAACAGTTTCTGTCCTCTGGTTTTCTCTGTGGCTGGAGAAAATTATTTTGGTTAAGACAATAATTTACATAATGGTTAATTATACTAGTTATAATTACAAATAGAAATATAGATATGTTATGACACATTGTTTCCTACTTATTAAAAGGTGATTTCCCCCTGTATGGTAAATGTAATATAACACACTTTGGTCTACTAAATATATTACTTATATATCTGTATAGGTCTAACATATATATATGAAAGCATACTAAAAAGCTTTTACTGTAAATTGTTATAAGAATAATGTACCGGGGCCTCCCTAGTGGCGCAAGGGGTTAAGCACCATACTATGAAGCAATCTGAAGCCTCTGCAGCACGAATTCCATCCCCGGCCAGGGAGCAAACCACAGGGAGCAAACCACATAGCACAGCAGATCTCTCCTGTCCCTCCCACTGCTCCCCTCAGCAGTGTATTTCAGTCATTCTGCCTGTTCTGTACCCCGCTCTGTCTCTAGTGAATCCTCTTACCCTCCACACCTCTGGCCTGTATGTACCCCAGCTCTTGTATGCATAAATAAATAAATCTTTAAAAAAAAAAAAAGAAGAACGTACCAAAGGAGGACAATTAGTTTTGGGGCCATATTCTGTAAAATGACTACATTAATTTATGGCCAGATAAGTTCTTTTTTGGTCACTAAATTGTTAACTTAGTGCTTTATAGCATCCTCTTAATTCATTTTAAAACACACCTTAAATCATGTTTTTAACAGATTAACTTGCTTTCAAAAAGTTAAGCTCCTACCATATGACCCAGCAATTCCACTCCTAGGGAATCTACCCAAAAGACACAAAAACATTAATTCAAAAGGATACCTGCACCCCTATGTTTACTGTAGCACTATTTATATAGGTAAAACTTGGAATCAACCCAAATGCCCAAAAATAGATGACTGGATCAAGATGTGGTACATATACACGATGGAATACTATTCAGCAATCAAAAAAGATAAATTCATGCCATTTGCAGCAACATGGATGGAACTTGAAGGAATTATGCTCAATGAAATAAGTCAGAAGGAAAAAGAAAAATACTGGATGGTTTCACTTATAGGAGGAATATAGGGGATCAAGGGGAAAACAATGATAATAACAACAAAAAAACACAACAAAACAAAAATAAACAGACAACTATAAATCAGAGACATTCTGCAGGGGAGGGGGAGGGAAAGGGATCAAAACAAGGCTGGGAAGAACACAAGGGACTATGGTGATGGAGCTGGTGAACTGGTGGTGGAAATTCTATGGGGACTACACCTGAGAAAAGAAAGCAAACATTGTAAGAAAAAAAATAAACGTTTAAAAAATATTTAAAAAAATAAAAAAAATAAACATAATTCAAAAAGGAAAAAGAAATTATCCCAACTCCTGTGGTAGGTAGAACATAATGTAATGCGTTATGTGTATAATAGGATTAATTATGCTCATCTATTAGAACAGTAAAAATATTCAAAAAGCAAGAAAAAAGTTAAGCTCCTAATAATGTTATTTATCACTGTTTTCACAAAGCTGACTTGTCTCTTCCATCAACTATTCTTGATTTGTCTTTCCCAAATTCAAGCCTCAAATTCATAGTAACAGTTAAAATGTTCTTATATGCCTCAACTACATCTGGCAGATTACACAGAGATTTGTTCCATCCCTCTATAAAAGCTACAACAAAATATTTTCCTTCTTATTGTTCTACTTACTTTTTATATTTCCTTCTTACTTTTCTTTTTATTATATCTACAAGAAAAGGTAGACATCTGTTGAACCTTTTGTGGTAATCATTTCATAATTTTTATAAATCAAACCATCATGTTTCAAATTTATACAGAACACTGTCAATTATTTCTCAATAAAACTGCAAAGAAAAAAGAAATGACTAGGATTAGGGTTTTTTTCTGAAATTCTCCAAATTTTATTTAACTCTTTGTTTTTATAAAAGCTCTTTCATTTTTCAAACTTAATTATTTTGAAAAAGGGCAAATCAAAAAGTTTCTATTCCTGAGTTAATTATGTATAATTAGATATACTAATATAATTATCTTTCATTAACTGCATACTTTCCACAAGTTAAAAAGCATACTCATGTTTAAGCAACAAAGGACTGGTATGATAGCTATCAATGAAAAGATTTCCCCTCCCCCCATCCAGGATTTGATTCAAAACCCTTTTTTTTCCCCTTTTGGTTCATGAAAAGTCTGAACAAGCTATAGCAGTATTGACTCAATTACAAGAGAGTTGTTAGGAGCCTATAGTTTATTTCAGTCTTTCATTAGATCCAGTAGCCATTAGATCCATGTATCTCACTTGTCTAAGAGCTATGGCAGCAACTGTCAATGAAATGTGACATTTTCAGTTGATTTGGTTCTAGGGTCTTCATTACTTAATGGCTGTTTGGTGCTGTGTAGACTTCTCCATTGACAAGAAAACCCTCAGCATTTCTAGGCTATTCCTTAAACCTCCAGTGAAAGGTTGTTACTTTCCCTTGACACATAACTATCCACATTACTACAACACTCTGAAACTCAGCCACCCCGTTTTCCTTACCTGAACAAAGAGAAACACACATCTGTTTGCCTGTTAGGAAAACTATCCACACCTGCAGACCTTACACACACACACACACACACACACACACACACACACACACACACACACACACACGTGCACGCACACACCCAAACACCCTCATCCTTGATTTTACTGTCTGTAGATGATTCATTCTCAAAAAAGAAAAATTCTAATGTGCCAAAAAGAAAAACTATCATAGATTTGAATTTACTCTCAAAATATAAGCTTTCCTAGAAATTAAGTCAGTTCATATGGCCAACTCAAATTAACTGTCCTTCCCCAGATCTGCCAGCTGACAAAAGATAGAAGGTGCACACATTAATTTTGATGTAAGGTATATAATCTGGGGCTAGTCCATGACTTCTAAGTGCTTTATAAACACAAATTTCCTGAACATTGCAGCAAACCCCTATAAAATAGATGCCAAAATAAAGAGTGAGCAGCTTTGCTCTTACATCTAAATAGATAAGCATAAAAAAAATGGAGGTAAGCAAAAATGCTTCATGTATTACCCACAACAGCAGAGATAAACTGGCTTCAATACTGAACCAACATTGGTGGGGTAGTTTATTTTATTGACAGAACATAATTTTTATTCACATTAACATAAAATAACCATTTTAAGGAGAACAATTCAATGACATTTAGTACATTCACAATATTGTGCAACCATACCCTCTACCTAGTTCCAAAAACATTTTTTAACACCCCCAAAGGAAACCTGTACCAGTGCAGTAATTTTAAAGGTATTGTGATGACAAGGCTGTAAAGGCAGGAAGGGGTAGGAACCAAAGCCCCCAGGCGGGTCTGAACACTTCCCCCCAAAGGGCTATAAAAATGTACAAAACTTGTTGTTGTTCATTCTCAGAATGGATAGAGCTTTTTCCTTGCTGACCAGCTACAACATAATATTTTATATAGATAGATAGATAGATAGATAGATAGATAGATAGATAGATAGATAGATAGATACTGCTCAGTTTCCTGTACCCAGTTTGAGGAATCTCGACTTGTCTTTTCAGTAACGGGAGTATCTATCTCATAAGTACCGTTATTAAAGAGGTCTGTAAAATTCCCATGTCTCCCCTGTAAATGTACTCACGAAAGTGAGAGCAAGCGTGAGGTCTATCTGAGGAAGAGCAAGAGTCCAAAACGACCAGATGAAGAGAGTGAGGGAGAGGAGAGACCGGAGAAGAAAGCAGAGCCGGAGACCAGCCTCCCAATTGTAAAGCCTCACAAGTCACTCTTAAGAATGTTTACATTTACACAGCATGAGACCGAGAGCAGTTAAAACGTTTTGTGGAATGGATGGACATAAATTATTTTTTTAAAGAATTACTGTGCATGGAAAGAAAAAAACCGGTACCTTTACAGTAGAGCAACCCGGAGAGTACTACCTAAAACCACGGATCAAGGCTAACGTCATCAATGACGTCATGTGGATACCAAGTACCATCTCATAGGATGCTGTATGCATACTGTATGCATGTAGTATGATTTCATGTGTATCCTCCATAAAATAAAGGTTTAGACCACAAATACTATTTAGGGATGCATACAGTGGTGGAAGAACGTCAACGAAACAAAAAATCCAGGATAATGACTAATTCCCGTGGCGTGGGGAGGGGGGATTTTCATCCGGAGGGGCACAAAAGGATTTCTTAAGGTAATGTTCTGAATCTTAACCTGGGTGATGAACGGACAAATTTTATTTTATTATCTTCAAATGTTTTTACTTTGAAATACTCATAAAACTGTAAAAAGAATTCCCGTACCCCCTTCATCCAGATTCGCCGATTTTAACATTTCACCCATTTACTCGGTCGCTGTTTCTTTATATACTTTTTTTATATATTATCTTTTCAACCATTTGAGAGTTAGCTGTTTACACGATGGTTTTTTACCCTTAAATATTCCGGTACGTATTTCCTAAAAACAAAGCTCTTCTCTTTCATAGCCACAATACAATTATCTAAAGCAAGAAATAAGCAGTACTAACATCTAGTCTACAGACCTTAGTCAAATTTCACCAGTTGCTCATTAATATCTTTTACAGTAAAAGAAAAATTTTATGAGGAAAAAACCTGATTTTTAAATAATTTATTTCATTTTTTGCTCCGGGATCCAATCCAGGATCACACATTGCATTTAGTTATCATGACTCCTTAGATCCCATTAATTCCTTCAATCTGGAACAGTTCTTCATCCTTTGTCTTTCACGACCTTGAAATTTTGAAGAGTACAGGCCGTTTATTTTAATAGAATGTCCATCAATCTGGGCTACGCAAATATTTGTTACATAACCTTTTTAAGTCTCACGTATTTCACAATTTGTGAAACTCGGCGAGAAATATTATGAACCCACAACAGCACATTTCAAGCATTGGTTAGCAAAGAAATCAAGTAAAACAAGCGGATTTATCAAGGAACGCATTGACATTTTAAAAACAGCTATTTTTGCCTGATTACAAAAACAAAACAGTACTAAACAGAAAGCAAATGTAACATCGAAGTCCCCTCCCGTGCCAATCACCTGCACTTTCTCCCGTCCTGGGAAGAAGGCCTCGGACAGAGGCAAAAACCTCGCCGCGTCACAAACTTTGCTCATTCGCAGGCGCCATTTTCTGATTCACAGGCACCACCTCCCCTCTGCAGTCTATCCCCGGCCTCAGGACACGCCCCCGGGCTCACGTCACAAGCCTCGTTCCCAGGAGCCAGCTCCTCCCACCACGCCGGCTCCGACTGCCCCCCCAACACACACACACGCACACAGAGCCGCACGGCTCGGGTTTCGCTCTTCGGCCTGACGTCATCAGCCGTGCCTAGTTCGCAGGCGCCGCGGAGCATTTGAGGGCCGTCCCCGCCCCAAGATGCCCCCTCACAAGGTGCAGACCACGCCCCCGGGCCCCGCGCCGCTGCGCTGCAGACACTGCCTTCTTCCCAAGTTCCAAGTACCACCACGCAGGCCCGGCCCCACCCCAGGGCAGTTTCTTCTCCAGCGCCGCGTCCTATCTCTCCACAACAACCCCATCTTGTTCTCAGGCGACAGGCTCCACCACACAGGCCCCGCCTCTTTCCCAGATGAGGGATCCACTCACAAGCACTTCCCCGCCCCTCTCCTCGGCCCCGCAGGCCACTCCTCCGCCCCCAAAGCAGTTCTCCAGCGGATCTCAGCCGCCACTTTCCCCACAGTCGCCTACGCCCCCGCTGTCCCCTCAGCCGAGGCTCTGCTCGCAGCCCTGCCTCACCAGCTTTCACCGGCCCTCAGTGGACGCTTTCGCCCACTCTCGGGGCTCTCGATCTGGCGCCACTGGTTCTCCAGGCCTGGCACCGCTTCGAGCTGTGGCTCTGAGTCCTCGGCTATGGCTGCAGCCGCCGCGGGACTCGCCGCGACCGCCGCCATCGCTGTTCACCCTCCTCTCACAGCCACAGCCGCTGGAAATAGGAAGAGGCCCCTCGACCGCTACTTCCGGATTCTGGTCCCGGAAACGGAAGCAGAGCCCCCCAAACAGCTGGCGCCTACTGCCGTCTTGGAAATGGACCCCATGCTTGGACGCGACCGAGCATTAGGTGGACAGCTGACCGTGGGCGGCGACGTCTGCGACCAATAGACAGGGTAAAGCCTAGGTTGGGTACCAAGGAAGGCAAAAAGTGGTCTATGGGATTCTAGCGCCATGTTGAGACTGGACAAACAATTGTGTGGAAGTTGGAGGCCGAATTCCGAGGTGAATGAGGACGCGTTAGGGGGCGCTCTGGGACAAAGGTTTTGGGCTTCTCGGTCCCTGGAGCATGCTGGGGACTGCGGGCCCCTGCGCGAGGGGCGGCAATTGTTAGCCTGACCAGCGTGCCCTTCCTTCGTCGCACTACCCCCCACCCATCAAAGCCCTATACAGAAGAGGTCGAGGCCTCCAGGGTGCCGCCCAGGTCAGCTGGTCGCAGCCTTACCGGAACTAGGTGTATTCTTGCAAGTGTGTTGAAGGCAAGTCAGCCCCAGGCCCTGTGTTTCCGTTGGTTACAGCAACGTTTAAGTTACAGCCCTGTTTTTAACTGCTTTATTGCAGTAACAGAAGCCTGAGGCAGCAGATGTCACTGTCGACCATGAGCAACAATGAGGCAAGCTGAGGACCAGAAATGTCAGCTCACTTTGCCTCCAGCTAGTAAGTGGCTGAGCTTATTTGAACTAAGGAAGGCCTTTTCCAGAGCTGTGACCTTAAACACCAGGCCAGAGATTCTCAAAACTGGGAGTTCAGAAAACCCTCTCAAGGACTTCAAATTCAAAACCATTTTCATGACACTCATTGGCTCTTCCAAGTTTACTCCTTTTTCATTTTCTCTAGCAAATGCAGTGGATTTTCCAAAGGCAAAAGCTCTTTGGATGCCCTCAGTTTTTCTTTTTTTAATATAAAGTGACCCCGAGGCCACAAGTTTTGAAAAACATTGCATTAGGACAAGGTTTCTCAACCTAGGCACTATTGAGATTTCTATTGTGCGAAGGATTGTAGGATGCTGCTTGGCTGCATCCTGAACCTCTACCCACTGGAAACCAATAGCATGCCCAGTTAGACAACCAAGTGTCTCCAGATTGCCAAATGCCCCCTGGGGGGCGAGGATTTTCTCTCTGGCTGAAAACCATAGCACTTGTATGTGCCCTCCTTTCCTTTACTAGTGCTCCCAGCTCTACCTGTTGATATTTCCCTCCAGCTCCCTGCATCTACCTGACTTTTGGCTGTCCCCACCTGACCCTCCCACAAACTTCCCGAGACAGGTTCATGATTCAGTGACTTCCTTCATTGTTACCACCGTCTCACGGGCAAGAACACACCTCACCTTTCCATACTGGTGAGGCCCATGCACACAGATCCCTGTGCCTGGAGTGTCCAGAATACCCTCTTCCTGCACAATTTCAAACTCCCCCCCCAGACATAAAATCTCCTAAATTGCCTCTTTTAAATTAGACTCTCTGGGCCTCCCCGGTGACACAGCAGTTGAGCACTGGGTTGCGAAGCTGCCCGCAGACTGCAGCGCCGGTTCGATCCCCGGCTGCCTGGTGAGGGTCCCACATGGCGTGCAGACCTCTCCTGCTGCCCGCTGCTCCCCTCAGCAGTGTACTTCAGTCCTTCTGCCTGCTCTGCTCCCCGCTCTGGCTCTGGTGAATTCTCTCACCCTCCCGCGCTTCTGACTGTACCCAGTGCTTGTATAAATAAATAAAATCTTAATAAATAAGCCTCTCTGTAAGGCAGGAATTCTTTTACTGTCACTCCAGCCCCAGCCCAGACCTGGCAGGTGAGGAGTCACAACTCAGTTGTGTAAACTCAAGGAGAGCAAGCAGGCCTTTCACCTGGAGGTCCCCAAAGTAGCATTCAAGTTAGGTCTGACACATGGCAGATAGTTGCTCTTTAAGCCCAGATGAATCATTTGCAGCATTTGCCTGGTGGCCCTGCCCATCCCACCTTGTCTGCCTTAAAGTCAATCCTTGGCTTTGCCCAAGATAGTGGAGCTAGAACACTCAGGACAAAGGAAATCAAAGCCTTGACTATCCTCACCTCTGACGGCAAGACCCGGGCTGTGCCATTTGACCTCTGACCTCTCACAAACCATTGCATCCTTCACAGGGTCACCTTACCCGTGCCCATGGTTTCCATTACTTCCTCCTCCTGATTCTGCAGACACACGTGGTTGGTTATAGTGGGCCTTCCAAGTGTCTGTCAAACAACCTCTCCACACCCACCTGTCTCCACCCTCTTACCGGCTGCCTCATATTCTTAGGGAAAATCTAACTTCTCTCTGATGCATACCTCATCCTCTATTCGGCCTGTCCTACCTGCTTCAACTCAAGGTTCCACTTCTGTGCACACAAGCCATTCAGTTGTTTTTTTCATAGTTGTGATGTTTCTGTGGCCCACTCCCAGTGCTCTCCTTTATGATGGGGACCAGGTATTAATTCTCTTAAGGTCCAAGTAACTCACCCTGGGTCAAGCCCTCCACCACCCTATAGGGATTTGCAATCAGGTTTTTCACTTTAGACTTTTTAATATTTCATACAGCGATTATGGTGCATTCAGGAACCCAAACCCCCAAACCTCACTAGGAGGGCCCCCACCCCTGCCCTCCCACCCCATTTGAGGGCCCCAGGGTTTAGAGTGGAGGAGGGGTAGGTAACCACCCATCTGCAGATTGACCCCAGAGACTGTCCTGCCCTGCCTCACCCTCCCCAGGGATTAGGGGAGTAATGGGTGGCACTACCCTCCATGCACCCTTTTGTCCCTGTTTGTGCACATACACACACTCTGGCTCCTCGCTGAGTTGGTCAGTTCCTGGCAGGGTCCCTACTCAACAGCACCAAATGGGATGGGGACAGGAGGGCTGGGCTAGGGAGACCCTGAGAAGGAAGGAGGCCCCAGCTACAGGACTGCAGGAGGGAAAGAGTGGGGGTTCCCCCACCTCATCCATCTCCCAGAGAGTCTCCAGTAGTTCCCCCAGATCCCCCTGCAGCTGGGGATGGCAGGCAAGGGTAGGAAGACAAGTAGCTGAGGCATGCTTTCCCTTAGCCGACCCCAGGGTCTAGGGATGGTTAGGATTCCAAATAGGGGCTGTGTCCCCGCCACTGAAAGGCTGGGAGCGGGGCTTCATTGCACAAAATACTGTGGGAGGGCCACACGTAGGGGGTGGAGCCCAGCCAGACTGTATAGAGAGATATTGCATTTTAAAAAAATGAAAACCTCATTTAAAATAATTAAAAAAACAAGAGTGAATGAAATGAAAAAAGGCCCAGACAACAATGAGGCAGGTGGGGCAGGCAGGAAAGCAGGCAGGGGAAGCCTCAGACCCAAGGCTTTGCCACATCTTGTCTGAGTAGAGATCCCCTGCCTGGGCTAGCTCCAGACCCCTGGCTGGCTGTGGGGTAGTGGTCCTGGGGGAGGGTATGAGGAGGAGGGATATAGGCCTGGCCTTAGTGTGGGAGGCTGGCACGGCCATGCTGTCCGCCGGCAACTACCGAGACAGAAAGAGACAGACAGACAGACCAGGCGAGGAGCGATGAGAGCTTTGTTAGCACCCAGCAGACAGGCCAATGGGTGGGTTGACAGGCCAATGGGTGGGTGTTTGGACAGAGAGCAAGGAACATGTGGGCAGACGAACATGAGTCAGGCAGGCAGCAAGCAGGGAGGATTCAGTTGGGGGTTGCCCTGTGAGGGGTGTGGCATCCCTCCAGCCACTGCCTGCTGGGGCCTCGGTCTGTGGCTTAGAATTCGGTGTCCACCACGCGGAAAGCTGGCCTGCCTGCAGGGGAAAGCAGAGCGATGGCTGTTGGTGGGCAAGCAGGTAGGTGGGCAGGGAAGAGGGCAAGGGCCACACCTACCTGAGTCAGGCATCGATGAAGAGCGAAGGCTGGCCTCCTTTTGTAGCTGGATCTCCTTTAGTGCAAATATGGAAGTAGCTGTGGGTGGAAGAGGCCGAAGTGGGGAATGACACATGGGGCTACCCAGGACCCCCTCCCATCTGGCCCCATTGTGGGAATTAGGAAAAGCTGCCTTTTCTTTGAGGTTTGACTTTTATCTGTCAAATAACGCCATGCACAAACCAACCACAGCTAGTAAAAATGGAATCTAGACCATATTACACTGACACCAAGAAATCACTATTAATTTTGTCAAGCGGAATAATGGTTTGCAATTACCACCTGTTAAATCTAGGTGATGGTGTTTGGGATTTGATTTAGATTAATCCAATAGGGAGATAAGGCAAGTGGGCCAATTTTTTTTTTAGCTATGATGATGATATTGTTATGTTTAAGAAATATCTGAGATACACGCTAAAATTATTTATAGATGAATGACATGTCTGGGGTTTGATTCAAAATAATCAGAGGGAATATAGTTAAAAACCACATTGGCCATGGGTTGAATACTTGAGCACATTATTTGGTCTAATATATATCAAAATTTCAAGTGTACATATTAAAAAGTTTTTAAAAGCCAGATATAAAAAGAGAACACCTGGTGTGACTCTATTTCTGTAGAGCAGAGCTGGGAAAACTCATGTTGTTGGAAGCCAAACTAGCAGTAATCCCTGGGGAGGGGAGCAGGGGTAACTGAAGGAGATGAGAGGGCACTTGGGGAGCTTCTCACATCCTGTTTTGTTGTTTGTTTTTTAAGATTTTAAAAGGACAGGTTTATTAGGAAAAGGAGAAAGAAAAAAGAGAGGCACCTGCATAGTCACAAGCTGCACATCCTGTTTCTTGATCTGTGTATCAGTGACATGGAATGTTTCATTTGTGAAAACTCATTGTTACATTCTTATGATCTGTTAATGTCTCAGTATATAATATTATAATCTATTTTACATGGAAATGTTTACTTAAAAACAAGTACAGTGATGTTGCATGTTTTTATGTATGTTTGAAAATTTCCACAAAAGGTAAAAGGAAGTGAAAGAAAAAC